GAGCGCCGCCACGCTCCCAAGCGGCACACTCTCCAGTGCGCCACCGGGCTGGCCCTATTTTTTAATTTTTATTGAATCAAAATCGATTATACATATTTTGGGGTTTCAACATTGAGATATGTTGATTAAATCAATATTACTAGCATGTATATTGCTACAAATTGTAATTATTCTTTATGCCCCTTGTCCAATTTCTCCTCATCCCCCTTTCCCTCCCCCCACCCCTCTCTAATCACCCTAGATTTCTTCTCTCCCTCTGAAAGAATAATGGTTACTCTGTTGATTTGCTGCCCAAATGATTTGTCCAATGCTGAGAGGCGTGATCAGGTCCCCCAATACTATCACAGAGCAGATGTCTCTTCCGTCACTATGAAATGGGCTCTGTGTAGATAGACATCCTCCCCCTTTCTTTATCTCTGCTGGCGACTCTCCTTGTGTCAACTCACTCCAGTGGTTGGTGGACCATCTGTGTGGTGGTTGTGGCATCTAGCTGCCTTTGTGGCAGCCGTGGTTATCATGGTGGTTGTGGTGGGCCACCCACATGGAGATGTTTTTGGCATGCTCCATGGTGCTGGCGGTGTGCCTGGTTGTAGAGAGTGTCCAATCCCTGGTTCCATGCCCTGGGTCCCCAAGTGGGTCCCAAGGCACTGGCACAGTGTGCCTGGTTGTGGGAGGGGAGTCCAGTCCCCTTCTCCATGCCCCGGGTCCCAAGGCAGGCTCCAGGTCCCAAGGTAGGCCCCAAGGCACTGGTGTGGTGTGCCTGGTTGTGGGAGGGGGGGTCTGGTCCCCTTCTCCATGCCTCTGGCCCCTGGACAGGGCCCAGCACAGTCTCCTGTTGTTTTCTAATTTGCTTTCATTTCTGGTCCGTGTTTCCTTTTCCTCTGTTTCTTTTTTTTTTAATGTATTTATTTATTTTAATTGATATATTGTAATTGTACATATTTCTGGGGTAGTTTTCCTCAATTTCTTTCTTGATCTCTCCCAGCTCAAGTCTTATTCTTCTTCTCAGTTATCTCACCATCTAATTCCTGAGCTCTGTTGCCTCTGATCTTTACTTCAGAAAGCTTTTGTAAGTGATGGTGAAATACTTGGTCACAAGTCTCCACTGCTCTGTGGCAGTTCTTTTTCTTCTGGTGAGTGTCAGTCATCTGCTTCTTTCCTCCTTTTGGAATCCAGTATCTTCATATGGAGACCTGTGCTGTTTGCTTTTGGATTACTCCTCTTTGAATGGGGTGAGCTCTCCTGGACCTGAAGGAGGTTCATATGGGGCCGATGCCATGTTGCAGGCTAGCAGAAGCCTTGTATGTGAATCTTTATTCTTTACATTTGCAGCCAATGAATTTGGGTACTGTAGGGCTTTTCACAGGGCAAAGCATCTCTTCTCCTACCTCACAGACATACTGCTTCCTGCAAATATGTCTTGTCTGTTTCTTAGAACCAAGCCAGGCCAGGGAAGCCCATTGTCACCTCGTGCCCTTGCTCTTGCCTTGAAGCAAGAAATGCCCCTTTTGCACAACAGGATGAAACCTGCATCTGGGACCATCTTTTCAGCTTCTTCCTGCATCTTCTGGCCAACCTCCTGCCTGCTCTATAGTCCAGGGGCTCAGCGATCTCCCAGTGTCACTGAAAATGGTGTTCTTGTTTCTGTCTTTCATTCTCCTAGTTGCTTGTGAGTGATTTCTGAGAGGATGCAAGTGAAAAGTTCAACTCTTGCCACCACCCTCATTTGAAAAGCCCTCTGCTCTCCAAACCACTCTGCCACGCTGCCTTCATAAATAGTGGCCGAGTTTTTTTTCTTCTTGAGAAGTGCTGTAGAGCCTGAGCTCCTGTCCTTGGTCAGCTTATTGTCCCAGACAAGACAGAGACATGGAGACAAGCTGTACAGGCAGTGTTTGCTACCTGCCCAGTGAGCAGCATAGGTGACACATGCTCAGAGGAGACTTGGAGGGAGAGAAAGAGGGACCGACAGAGAGAGGGTGGAGGAAGAAAGGAAGGGAGGGAGGGAGGGAGGGAGAAAGGAAAGGAAAGGAAGAGAGAGAAAGAGAGAGGAGAGGTGACAGAGAAGAGTTCCAGTGCCTTGGGAGCTCTCTGTTGGAAGGGACAGCCCCCAGCACAGGTAAGTCTCCAGGGGGAAGGGGAAGTGGGAGTGGGAAAGACCACTGTCCTCTTTCTGCCCTCAGGGTGACCATGTGTGGCTGGATTCTTCCTCTGCCAACAAGACCAGTGTGGCCATCGGGGGCATCATCAAAGAAACAAAGCCAGGCAAGGTTTTGGTTGAGGATGATGAGGGCAAGGTCAGTGTCGCAAGGTCTCCTCTTGCCCCCACCCCCCAGCGCCCCAGAGCCCTTCTCCTCTCTGGTGCTGCTCCCCAACACCAGGGGTTCCAAAGCCCAGATAGGGACCTCTGTGGCAGGACAGAGCACAGGGAACACTGCATGTTTGTCTTGGGAATGTTTTGAGAACCGCAGTCATGGGAAAGTAGAAGTGGGGAGCGGAAGGAGGGAGGTGAGAAAGGGGTGCAGCGGCAGAGACAGAGACGAGGGAGGGCAGAGAGCTGGCTCACAACGCCAGGGGCGCCAGGGGCGGGAGGGAAAGGTGGCTGAGGAAGCGTGTGGAGGGGAGGCAGGGGCAACGCAGCCAAGTGACAGGCAGGCGGCCGGGGGCGGCCCAGTGCAGCCAGCTCATCCACCTGACCGGGGAGGGCCTACCGAGGGCAGCGGGGGAGGGCTTGCAGGGCGAGGCACCTGTGGACTTGTCCTATGAGCTCCAGATTATGGAAGTCAGTAAAATAATAATAATAATAGCTTCTATATGCATTATGCTGTACAGGTTTTTTTTTAATGCTTTTACTTGTACCCTTTTATTCCAACAACCTATGAAGCCCCCACCTGTAATCTGACCCTCAATCTAAATTTCAAGTACAAGCTCCTCCATCCTTGGTCTTAAATTCAGCCGTAGCCCCAGCTACACACTGACCCCGGGCCCTAGACACATGCTGACCCCAGCCATAGATGAGCTTGGTCCTGTTACAGGTGTCCCTTGACCTTAGCCGCAGACTGACCCTGGCCAGGGAGTGGCCAAGAACCACAGATTGGCTGATCTGTGGCCCTGCAGGTGGCCTCACTGCTGAGAACTTGGAGGGGTGCTGCAGGCTGGCTGGCACAGAGGCCACCTCTCAGGGGAGTCTGCACTGTCATTTCAGGAACACTGGATCCAAGCAGAGGACCTCAGTGCCCTCAGACCCATGCATCCCAACTCAGCTCAGGGTGTGGACGACATGATCCGCCTGGGGGACCTGAATGAGGCGGGTATGGTGCGCAACCTCCTGATCCGCTACCAGCAGCACAAGATCTATGTGAGTCCTATGTCCATGGTAGAGCCCCTCATAGGGGGCTGACCCCCTGGGTGGGGAAGAAAACAATGCCCCAGGGGGTCTAGAGCCAGGCGCCACTCACCATGCCCTCCCCTCACTGTGCAAGGTGGGCCGGGTACCTAACCTTTCTCAGTCTCTTCTCCCAAGTCCAAAGGAAGCAGGGCAATTATACACTTGAGGGAAGGAAGCCGACGGGTAGCGATGGCATAGCACCTGGCACACAGTAGGTGCTTAATGAGGGCTGCCCCTTCCTGTTATCTGTGGCTGAGCAGAAGTCCCACTCTGGAGGCTGAGTGGACACCATACGCCATCAGGGTGAGCATAGTCTTCTGCCCACCCCTTCCTAGACATGTTTCAGAGACAGGGTCACCAGACAGAAGACCCCTACCCTCCTGAGAGTGAGTCCTGTGACAGCCAGGATCCCAGGGTCCTGACCACCAGTTGAGGAGGGCCATGTGGGTAGATGTAGACATTTCTCCCAAACCCTCGCAGTGGATGAAGGTTCAGCCCAACCCAAAGATTCTCATCCCGGTTCCAATGCAGATTTTCCCAGGGGAGGTGGCATGCCAAAATTAACACCAGCTCCACCAAGGGTGCTCAGTGGTCTGCCCTAGAGGGTATGGTGTGGGGAAGTCCCTGCCTGCTTGGCCCTCTTGTCCAGATGGAGGGATGGCTAGTTGGCTCTGACAGCCTTTCTGGGCTGCTCAGAGGAGTCAGGAAGTAAGCTGGGGACCCCAAACAGAAGGGAAGTCTGGAAGGGAAGAGGAGGCCGCTGGATCAGGAGGGGCCAGGGCACACTGTGTTTGCTCTAGCTGAATGTGGGGCAAAGCACCTGGCACTGAAAACAGCAATAAAGCAAACTGAGTTGCAGCCGGTCCCTTCCAGAGTGCTTGTGCACGCACTCTTCATGTGGTCGTCACAGCCTCGACACCAGAGGGCCTATCCTCTCCTTTCCTAAAGTGAAAACCAAGATGTGGCTAATCAAATGGCTTGTTGTGGAGGTCCTTCCTTTCCGCCCCCAGAGAGGCAGCCAGGCCTAGCGGGGGCTCCAGAGGAACAGATGATCCTGGTTGGGGGTCTCAGGAGGAGCTTTATCCCAGGGGCCCACAGCACACAGAATGTTCGGTTGGGATCAGAGAGGGCCGGTTATTGACCAGCCTTCATGAGGCCCCTGCGGGAGGCAGGTGAAACTCATTTCATACACTCAGCCCATTTTGATCAAGCCCCATCTAAAACAGAATGTTCGGTTGGGATCAGAGAGGGCCGGTTATTGACCAGCCTTCATGAGGCCCCTGCAGGAGGCAGGTGAAACTCATTTCATACACTCAGCCCATTTTGATCAAGCCCCATCTAAGTACCAGGCAGGGTACTAAACATTTAACATCTAATCTTCCTGGGAAGGGGCCCCCAGGAGCTCACAGTCCTGGTGAACACCCCATATTCCCAGAGGAAGGGTCCAAACAGCTGAGTGTCTTGTCTCCCCGGCCCAGAATCAGACCCCATTACCTACCAGAGTCCACCCATCCTGGTAGCCCTCAGGGGGTTGCACCCGAGGCCAAGGCCCTCACTAACCACTTGCTCCCTTCCCTAGACGTACATAGGCTCCATCCTGGTGGCCATGAACCCGTTCCAGGTGCTGCCCCTGTACACCCTGGAGCAGGTGCACCTGTACTACGGCCGCCTTGTGGGCGAGCTACCCCCGCATGTTTTCGCCATTGCCAACACCTGCTACTTCAACATGAAGAGGAACAAGAGGGACCAGTGCTGCGTCATCAGGTGGGGAGGGGGCAGGTGGGCCTGGCCCTGCCTCTGAGCAAATCTTAATGGAGGAGACGTTTCCTCTCTCTAAACCTCTCCTGCCCAGCATGTCAGCAAGGCCAGTGTGATTTAGGGGCCCTCCTTATTCAACAGCAAACACCCTCTTCCACGGCACGCAAGCTCACCTGGAACTGACCCCTGCTGCCCTTGCATCCCAAGGAGAAGACCCTCCTTCGGAATCTGGTTTCTCACTGTATCCCCAGGGCCTAGACTGACCCAGCCTTCAATAAATGTTTACTGAGTTAAGGAAGGAAGAATGGGATGGGCTTCTTTAGAAATGGGGCTCAGAATAGACACTTGGAGGTGCAAGGGTCAAACAGTTGAGGTCTTACTAAAAAAAAAAAATCTCCGGGCAGGCCACAGGTGAGGATGAGACAGCAGCGGCTCCAGGCAGCAGCTCTCAGGTTGCTGGGGCAGGGAAGACCTGACTCCACTTCAGAGGCTCCCTGCCTGGCCTGGCCTCTCTGCTTTCTGTGATCACAAGCCCTCCTGGTAGAGGGAAGGGAGCATGAGAGGGAAAGGCAGGTGGAGTGGGGAATTTGGCTCCAGGGCACCTTGCCTGGTGCTGCAGTAGAATCATTCATTTATTCATTGTTGGTTCATTCATTAGAGGTTTTATCGACTGTGAGCCCCCCACTGTCCTACCATGGGGAGACAGCAGTAAATGAAAGGGACTAGAACCCCTGCCTCCTGGAGCTTTCCTTTGTCAACCAAAGTAAATTAACGACCTGGTTGAGACAAAAAACAAAAAGGGTTTGAGAGTTCATTAGGACTGCAGCCCAGGAGACAGAGATCCAAGAGACTTTGAAAATATGTTCCAGGAAACAAAGAAAAGTCAAGGCATTTAAAGGAAAAAGCCCACAAAAAGGAGGGGGCAGTTACAAAGCTGTGATTGGTGCTAGCGTCTGTCCAACAGCCTTGTCCGTAGGGATTGGTTGCAACAGCTCTTTGAGGTGGGCTTCAGTCAGGGAGGCCAGTCTGGCAGGAAGTAGCAAAAAGTAGCGAACAGCAGTTTTATGGGCAGTTGTTTCTTCAGGAGGTCGTGACCTTTGTGATGTGGCTGAGTGCAAGGTTCCAGAATGTTCTCAGTTAAGATACGCCTGAAATTCAAGCCAGTATTGTCCCTGGCTCTATTTTAGGTGCCTTGATCAAACCAAGGTCATTATCCTTGTCACATTCTAGCAGGGGAGACAGGCAATAAAGAAGCATGTTCTTAGCAGATACTAAAATCTCTGAAGAAAAACACATGGGGGAAGATGAAAAGCAAGACCAGGCTGCTGCTTTAGGTAGGGAGCAGACCGGACGCAGCCTCTCAAGGAGTGAGTTTAAACAGAGGCCAGAATAAAGTCCTGTTAAGTTGAAATAAGTTTGGCTTAAAGCTGCCACCATACATAGTTTGAGTTCTGCCTATGGGTTTCTCCTACACAGTGAAATGTAACCCAACTTTTTTTTTTTTTTTCCTTTTTGTCTTTTTTTTTTCGTGTCCGGCAACGGGATCGCAACCCCCGGTGCCGTGCCCGCACCTCGCTCAGCCAGTGAGCGGGAACCGGTCTGTATGTGGGATCCGAACCCTCGGCGGGACCGCCGCCGTGCTCACAAGCGGCGCACTGTAGCAGTGCGTCACCGGGCCGGCCCCGAAATGTAACCCAACTTGACGTGTAAACAGACATAACCAAACCTGGAAGTACCGTAGGCTCACGAGTAGAGTCTCAGCCAATCACAGGAACTGAACTTCTAGCCAATCAGAGGCTGAAGGCTGCCCAAACATGACCATATAAGGCAAACACCAGCTGCAGCCAATCAGGTTGTTTGTGTATGTCACTTCCTTTTCTCGGGTTATAAGTATGACCTGCACATGTGGGGGAGTGGAGCCTTCTGAGTCATTTTTCTCTTGGTCTGCTGCCTAACTCTAGAATCCCAGTTAAAGCCAGTTGAGGTTTACAAAACTACATTTGTTGTAATTTTGTTTTTTCACAGTCCTGTAGCATAGGTGATGGCGTTTAATCTCCTCAGCAGCCCTCTAAAGGCAATATTCTTATTGTCATGTTACTACTAGGGAAACCTAACAATCAGAGAGGCTGAGATCCTCTCCCAGTGGCACACGGTGGTGAAGTGGGGAGTTCAAACCCAGGGCTCTGGAGCAGAAGGCAGAAGTCCCTGGAAGGGAGCTGGAGCTTCCAATCTGCTGACTTTGGGGACACCAACCTTGCTGCAAGAGGCTTCCTGAGCCAAGCTGGGCCATGGGCTGGCTGGCCAGGAAGCTTGCAAGGCCATCTTCCACTCGGATGGTGGCAGTGCTGGCAGGGTGAATGCCAAAAGAAAAAGGGAGAGAGCTCCCTGATCTTTGGTTTGTTGCAGTGAAAAGAACGTCACTGAGTCAAACTGGGTTCTCCTGCCCTGGCTTTCCCCAGAGCTGTGAGCAATCCCCTTAATCTCTCTGCCCTCGGAGTCCTTTCTCTACATTGGTGGGTTATCTGATAAGCTTGTGTTTGTAAAAATGCCTGGCACTTGATAGGCACTCATGAGAAATCTGCAACTGTCAGTGGAGGTTTGTTAATTCTGCTTTTCTGGCATAGCAATTGTGGGCATTTTGATCATAACTTTTTTAAAAGGTAATATTTTGAGATGAAACAAGATTTGTCTGTAATTTGCTTCAAAATACTACAGGAGGGGAAACAAAATTGTCAAGAAGTTGAACTGTGGGAATTTGTTATGCAAACTTTAAAGCATGAGAGTCCTCCCCAGACATCTTGCAAAAATGCAGATTCTGATTCAACAGAGCTATCTGGGGCCTGGGGGTCTGTATTTCTGATCAGGTGACGGATGCTACTGGCCTGTGGGACACACTTTTATTAGCAAGACATTGAGTCATCTCATTCATTCATCTATATTTACTGAGCACTGTGCCAGTGACCCTGGAATGAGCCATATCCGACCATGCCAATGAGGTTGCAGCTGAGCAGGATGAAGAGACAAACACCAATAATTTATACAACATAGTTGGTCTGATACCCACAGGGATTTCAGGGCAAAAGCCATAGGATTCCTGCACAGGGGGAGAGAGAGCAGCCCTGTCAGACTGGCCCAGAAAGGTGGCCTGGGGTGGGTTTGCAGGAGTTAAGAAGTGCTGAAAAATAGTTGTTCTGTGGACTCATGTCCCTGCACACCCTCTTTACAGTGGCGAGTCTGGGGCTGGGAAGACGGAGACCACCAAGCTCATCCTGCAGTTCCTGGCCACTGTCAGTGGCCAGCATTCGTCAATTGAGCAGCAGGTCCTGGAAGCCAACCCCATCCTGGAAGGTGAGAGGTCACCCTTGGGACCCACCCTCCTCCCCCAGCCCTGGGAACTGGAGCCTTCCTGCCAGGAGGCACCTGTGGGGGGAACAGGATAGTCCACAAACCTTCACGGACTCCTCCGGATCCTAAGACACAAAAGACAAGGGTAGTGTGGAGGCTCCCAGGCAGCACAAGGGGAAAGACTGTTGACTTTATAAGCTTTCCCTAAGTGTGCTTTCCACATGATTATGAGAAGTATTCCTTTCAAAATGGGCTCCAAGATCAAATCAACTTGGGTGCTGGGTGTTTTCATTCTGGTCCCCTGGGATGTAGTAGCTGGGCTACAGTGAGGACTGCAAGCAGTTTATTGAGTCTCCATTCTGGTCCCCTGGGATGTAGTAGCTGGGCTACAGTGAGGACTGCAAGCAGTTTATTGAGGGGCAACCCCCACAGGAGATCAAAGTGCGAGGAGGCAGGCAGGACTGGGCTGCCGATGGTATGCTTAGCAAAGGAAGGAGGAGAGGAAACAGAATTGGGCTGGGAGAGGTGCGAGCTGAGATGCAGATCTGACCAGGTCTTGGCCAACCCAGTGGGGAGCTTTGGAGCAAACTGACCCTTAGAGGGATCCTGCATTAGGCCCCAGTGCCCCCTGGACTCAGTCTCCAGTGGGGGTGGCCCAGAAGCCTGTGACCTTGGCCCCAAGGCTGTCAGCCACCAGATGGCACAGTCTCTCTAGATTCTTTGTGATGGAGGTATGCTTTACATACAGTAAAAATTCACTTTTTTTTTGACGGCTGGCTGGTATGGGGATTGAACGCTGGACCTTGGTGTTATCAGCACCACACTCTAACCAACCTAGCTAACCAGCCAGCCCCAAAATTCACCTTTTTTGATATACAGTTTTATTAAACTCATACAGTCATGTAACCCCCATCATAATCATGAAATAGAATATTCCCACCTGCCCAGGCGCTTTCCTCATGCCCGTCTTCCCAACTCCACCCCTGTCAATCACTGATTTGCCTTTTTCTCCCCTATAGTTTCATCTTCTTTGGAATGTCATATAAGTGACATCATACAGTTTGTAGCCTTTTGCACCTGGCCTTTGTGTCATTAGCATAATGCATCTGGGATTCTTCCATGTTGTTGCCTGTATCAACAATTCATTCTTTTTTAATGTTGAGTAGAATGCCATTGCATGGGGGTACCACAGTTTGCTTACCAATTGAGGGACATTTAGGTTGTTTATAGTTTTTAGCAATTATAAATAAAGCCTCTATAAACATGCACATACAAAAGGTTTGATCCCGGGCCCACCTTGTGGCTCACTCGGGAGAGTGTGGCGCTGGGAGCACTGAGGCCGCAGGTTCAGATCCTATATAGGGATGGCCGGGTGCGCTCACTGGCTGAGCGTGGTGCGGGCGACACCAAGCCAAGGGTTACGATCCCCTTACCGGTCACACACACACAAAAAAAGGTTCGATCCCTGTACTAGTCAGCTGTCAAAACATAACAAAACGTTCACATACAGGTTTTTATGTGAACACGTTTTCCTCTTAGATAAACATGCAGGAATGAAACTGTTGGCTCCATCAATAAGTGAACCGTTTAACTTTGTCAGAAACTGCCAAAATGTTTTCAGAAGTGGTTGTACTATTTTGCTTTCCCACCAGCAGAGTAGGAGAGTTCTAGTTGTTCTGTGTGCATCGAGGAGATTGCCACTCTAATATATGTGGGGGGGACCCCTTCATGGTTGTAACTCCACTTCCCTGATGACTAATGATGTTGCGTATCTTTTCATGAGCTTATTTCTCTGATGAAGTGTCCAAATCTTTTGTCTATTTTCCAATAGGTTTATTTCCTTATTAATGAGTTTTAAGAGTTCTTTACATATTCTGAATATAAGTCCTTTATAAGATATGTGTTTTACAAATATTTTGTCCCAGTCTGTGGCCTGTCTTTTCATTCTCTTAAGTGTCTTTTACAGGGAAAAGTTTTAAATTTTGATGAAGTTCAATTTACCAATTTTTTCTTTTACGGATCATGCTTTTGGTGTTGTATCTGAGAAACCTTTGCCCAACCCAGAGATTTTCTCCTAAGTTTTCTTTTAGATGTTTTGTAGTTTTAGGTCTTACATTTAGGATTATGATCCAGTTTTAGCTAATTTTTTCTATGGTATAAGATGTGGGTAGGTTTGCTTTCTATTTCTTCCTTTTTTTCTCTCTCTCTCTTTCTCTTTTTTTTTTCTTTTTCTCTTCTTTTTCTCTCACTCTCCTTTTTTTACCCAACTATTCCAGCCCTACTTGTCAAAAGACTATTCCCTTCTCCATTGACTTGCCTTTTCACCTTTGTCTAAAATCAATTGACCACAGGTGTATGGGTCTATTCCCTCATTCTCTATTTTATTCTATTCCTCTCTCTGTCTTTCACCAACACCACATTGTCTTGATCTCTGTAGTTTTATAGGTTTTGCAATCAGGTAGCACATGTCCTCTGATTTTCTTTTTCTTTTTCAAACTTGGCTATTCTAGGTCTTTTACCTATCCGTATACATTCTAAAATTAGCTTGCCAATTTGTATAAGAAAAAAATGGCTGCATCAGGTTCTTCCTTGAAGAGACACCTGACCGGTCACCCCTGTGACAGCCACACTGGGTTCAGTACGTTAAATAGGCTTCATAACTCTGCACTTCTCAGAGGCTCTGCTGTGCACTGGAATTCCTCAAGTGAGAGAGACAGAGTGCACTGTTTCATAAACCTAGTTCACTGAAGTATCCTCTTTGGTCTCATGGGACTGATGCTGGATGGTGGTATTTTCAAAGTGCATCCCAACCCATTAGTGGATCATGAAATCAAGTTTTTAGAGCGAATGAAATATCAGAGAATAGAAAATACCCCAGCACATCACTCTTGGTAAGAACTGGTACTGAATATTTTGTTTTAATTGTGTGTGGACAGGTGGGGGTGTGTATATACAGGACTTAATGCAAAACATCTTTCTTACTGTGGATCCCATCAGAAAGGCTTTTAGAAACAGCTCTACAAAAGACACGTTGGATCATGCTGCAACCAAAATGCCTCCTGATCTGACCACCTCATCTGTGTCCTGGCCTTGACCGGCTCTGCCAGTCTTCCCGCAAGCTTGCCTCTCCATCCCAGCTTCCGTCCACCCTGCAGCCTAAGCCATCTTTCTAAACTGCAAATCTGCTCACACACTTTCTCAGAAGCTGTCCTGCATCCCCCATCACCTGCAGAACCAATTTGCAACATCTGAGCCTGGCATTCAAGGCTCTGTGCCACCTGGCCCCACCTACTAACCAGTTCTAGCTACCTTCCAGTGCTTTCCTCTGTATTCTACACTCTGGCCACATTCCCTACTCCGCAAGCAAACCCAGTGCTTTCTGACCTCTGAGCCTTTACCTGCACTTTGTCTTCCTCTGAGCATGGCCTTGGCTGCCACTGCTGTCTGGTGTGACCCTACCCTCCTTCAGTGTTGGGCTCAGCCACCTGCACTGAGAAGCCTTCCCAGACGACCCCACTGAAAGTAAACATTCCACTCTCTACTCCCACCATGGCATTACCTGCTGGCCCTCAGCCTTTGGAAATGCCAAGACGATCCACAACGACAACTCAAGCCGCTTCGGGAAGTACATAGACATCTACTTCAACCCCAGCGGGGTGATTGAGGGTGCGCGCATCGAGCACTTTCTCTTGGAGAAGTCCCGGGTCTGCCGACAGGTGAGGCCCCCACCCGCCTGGGGATGGGGAATTGGGTGCTTGGGAGGCTTCCAAGAAGGGTCCCTTCCATCACTCTCACCCCTCCTCCCCTCCTCCCTAGGGGCCTTCCCAGACCCCACAGGCCTCACTGGATAACGATGGGCCTTCCCCAGTATTCCAGGAAAACAAATGATAGGATTTTTCTCAGTTCTGAATTTTTCATCCATGTAATTGTCTTCATTGTTTGATGCCTACCACTCCTCCCCTGTACGAGAGTTAATCCTGAGGCTGGGCTAGATGGGGTGTATCTTCAGGTGTGCTGGGGACCATGGCAGGGGGACCTGGATGACGGTGTCCAAAAAGCCATGTAGCCAGGAAATGCAGTGGCATGTGGCCTGTGCTGTCACAGGGCCTTGTGCTTAGAGAGCCCCATGCTTGGTTTAATGCTTTGCTGTTGCCATTTTGAAGTTCTTGCTGACTTTTTAGCAAGAAGCCCCACAGTTTCATTTTGCAGTGGGCCCACAGATAGTGTAGCTGATCCTGAATGGCAGGGATCCCAGTTCATGGCACCCACAATAGCAGAATTAGTGTACCCTTGGGGTGGGGTGCTCTCCTATGGTAGGCTTGTTGTGAGGCACCCTCCTGCAAGAATGCACTTACATGCCACTAGTGCAGAAAAGGGCAGTTTATTCACTCCAGCTGGCCAGCAACCATCTCTCAAGGAGCAACCAAGGGAGAACAGCCTCGGGCCTTGGTCTTGTGGGGTTTTTATTTATTTATTTATTTATTTATTATTTTATCCTTCCTTGAATTTATTTGTTTATTTTTCTTAATTTTATTTTGTCGATATACAATGAAGTTGATTATTGTGGCCCATTACCGAAACCCCCCTCCCTCCTCCCTCTCCCCCCTCCCACCTAACAATGTCCTTTCTGTTTGCTTGTCGTATCAGCTTCAAGGAGTTGTAGTTGTTAAGTCTTCTTCCGCCCCCCTCCCCCGGTTTTTTTGTGTGTGCGTGTGAATTTATTTATTTATTTTTAGCTCTCTTGTGGGGTTTTTAAAGGCAAAAACTACATCCCGTTGGCACACGGGTTTGTCCAGGTGCATAAAGCAAGCTAGGGAGCTAGGTCACAGAGGCCTAGAATGAGCCGTTCGAGCAATAAAGCATACAAGTTTTCATTGTGTGTGGTTCCTGTTCCCATGTAATAATTCACTGTATATGGCTCCTGTTTCTACATAACAGCTTTTGTTTCTAGGAGAAGGTCAACGGTTTCTCATGCAGCAGGGGGGGTAGTCTGCAGGTCAGACGGGGCAAAATGAAGTTACTTAGGTTGAGCAAGCAATTCTGCAGAAGCAGATAGCGTACGTTATGAGGGTGTAGGGAGCTCTATTTCAGTCTAACACCTAACACTTGCATGCACACACACACACACACAGACACACACACACAGAGGAAGGTCCAGAGTGGGTAAACACCACCAACAGAGAGGCGGGGCTGTGTGTGAGGATGGACAGAGGCTGTGGCACTGTGCAAGTGACAGCTCACCACCTGCACTGTCAGGTCCCAGGCATTTTCCCTGTATTACCTCATTGGATCTTCACAACCACCACCAGAGGTAGGTCTCTTCATCCCCATTGTAGAGATGAAGAAACTGGGTCCAGATAAGTTAGGTAACTTATTCAGGGTCACAGATCTAGTACATGGTAGAGTCTCTCTGATTCCAAAGTTTGTCCTTCCAGAGCTCGTACTTCTTCACACAGTGGTTGGTGAATCCATAGAACTTCTTACCCAAAGTGGTACCCCAAAACAGATGGGGAATCTCTAAAGCTAGTGAGAAACAAGCCATGCTAAGAGAGAGATTTAATAATTACAGCAGGGACTGGCTGGTTGGCTCAGTTGGTTAGAGCACAGTCTTGTAACACCAAGATCAAGAGTTCAGATCCCCATACCAGCCAGCCACCAAAAAAATAAGAATTATGGCATATCTATTCAATGGAATGCTGGGCAGAGTTTAAAAAGAGGAGGAGTTCTGTCCGTGTTGATGTGGAAGGATCTACAAGAAATGTATTGAGATGAAACAAAAAAAGGAAGTTGCAGAATAAATATGTTTTGTGTAAAAAGAGAAAGAACTGTTTATAGATACACTGTAAGTAAGTGAAGTAAATGCATTTAAATGTCTGGAAAGGAACACAGACCCTTGAGTGCTTTTGGGGAGGGAGAAGAGGGGATCTGAGGAGCTCTCACCCTGTAACACTGCATACTTAGATTGCTTGAATTATTACCATGGGAGTGCATTTATAATAGTGTTAAGAAAAGATAGAGAAGGCCTAGGTAAACCCTGGCTGTCAGCTGTCAGTGGATCACTGAGTGACTGGAATGCATGCAGGATGGCAAGTGAGACAGCCCCGGCCCTGCGCCATCACTCTCTGGCCTGTGACTCTGGGCTTTGGGGCTGCAAGGAGCAGTCAAGGTGCAGGAACTGCAGGGCACAGGATGAGCTGGCCTTGGAGGCCCAGGACGAGGACAGCGGCCAGGCCAGGCCAGCCCGTGGGGCAGTGCCAGAGCCAACCTGGCTGAGAGACCTTGGAGCTGAAGCTGGAACAGTCTTACTCCCAATGCCTCTGATGTCCCCCCACCGCCAGGCCCCGGATGAGCGGAACTACCACATCTTCTACTGCATGCTCATGGGGATGAGCGCCGAGGAGAAGCAGCTGCTGTGCCTGGGGACGGCCTCTGAGTACCGCTACCTGACCACGGTGAGCCCACCCCTCAGCAGCAAACAGGGACAGAGGAGGAAGGGCTAGTGCCCTCCCAGCCCTTGCTTGGCAGCTGCAGAGAAGCCTCAGCTCTGGCTGGGCCCCTGACGTGGGGATGAGGGTCCCCTTTGCCCCTCCCCGCTCCAGTCCCTTCTGTGTTGGAAGTCAACTTTATTACTGCCAGGGACTCACTCTTGTCAGCGTGCCCTCTCACTTTCCACACCGCATGTACCCCCACGTCCCAAGCCAAACCTGTCCTTCCACACAAGCCTCATCTGTCTTTGGTCCCCACCAGAGGAAAGGCTCCTGTGACTTCTGTAGCTTATAGGGTAAAGTCCAAACTCCTTGGGGTGGTTTCCAAGTCCCTCCAGGATCCAACCCTCTGCCAACCTCTTCTTCTCAACTCTGACCCCAGCCTTCTCATAGCCCCCACCCCTGCTTTCTACCTCACAGTCTTGCCCCCACCTAGACCACCCTCTGCCCTGTGCTGCTTTGTGGCTGAGCACATGGGGCCAGTTCAGGCATCTCCTCTAGGGAGCCCTTCCCCAACCCCTTTAGGGAAAGGCTCCTATAGGGATAGGCTGGCCCTGGCCCCAGCCCCTTTAGTCTCAGCACCTGTAACAGCCCATGATGCAGTCATCTACTTCCAGCCTGCCCCTTCTGCACGCACAGGACCCAGGGCAGGGCCAGGTCTCACCATTTCTGAATTTCCAACAAGTAGCATAGGGCCTGGCACATGGTGAGCCTTGTAAAGTGTTGGTTAGAGGTTCGAGCCCATGGTATTCCCCAGAGACAGACAAGGGAGACTCAAGTGTGGGCGATAACAGATAGAGGTTGAGAAGTGGAATGTCTTGGCCGAGGTCACACAGTTGCCCAGTGCAAGCCCTGGCTACAGGGCACAGGCACACTGTGTCTCTGGCATCGTGGTTCTGCCTCTGGAAGTATTTTTATGCACAAGTATTTTCTGAGCTTGGGCCACCTGGAGCCTATGACGTGTGACTTCTCAGGGGCCTTCAGCTGAGTGCCTGAGGTGTCTTGACCCTGCTGGCTCCAGGGTGGAGGGTATGGGATGGACCTGTTAGCTGAGGTGCCCTGTCCTGCAGGGGAACTGCACCTCCTGTGAGGGGCTCGATGATGCCAGAGACTACGCTCATGTACGCTCAGCCATGAAGATCCTCCTGTTCTCTGACTCTGAGAACTGGGACCTCAGCAAGCTGCTGGCAGCCATCCTCCACCTGGGGAACGTGGAGTTTATGGGTAATGCTGTTTCTGCCCAAAGTGCACCCACTGGGGAGGAAGAGTGGGGGGACTGGGACAGGAGGAGGAAGAAGTCTCGAGGTTCTCACTGGAAGGGTCCATGGGTCATGTGACCCACCATGGTCCCAGAAAGATACATCTGAAAATTTTAGCTATGATTTGGAGGCCTTGTGGGGCTAGGGGAAAGATGTCAAAGCTTAGAGCCCTCCAAAGGTGGAAACTCTGGTCAATCGTCCCCCACTTTTAGCTGGACCCCAAAGGGCCACCCTCTCGGGTAAAGATGAACCAGAGTAAACATCTCCATGCACTGACTTGCAAACCAGTTTGTAAGTATTGGGGTGGTCTGGGGATTAAGGTGTCCTGAACTTTTAGCACCTCCAACAGCTGATAGAAGTTACTGACGATCCTTTCTGGAAGAAAATACCAGCAACCTAGATCACAAATGATTCCTGCAAATAATTTTTCAAACAAAACATCCAGCATGCAGCCAGAAATAGATAGAAATGAGGAAACAAGATACCATGAGCAAGAGCCAGTGGAAATAATAAATAATAAAAGTAGATCCACAAAGAATTTAGATATTGGAATCATTGGACACAAACTACAGAGCAGCCCTGCTTGCTTTGTTCCAGGAAAGAAAAAGCCAAGCTTGAAAATTTAGACAGGAAACTGGAAACTATAAAAAGTGACATTACATATTTTAGAAGGAACCACATAGAAACTGTAAAATTAAAAAAATAAAATAACCAAAATTAAGAACTCAGTGGATGGGTTTAACAGCCAATTTCATACACGTGAAGAGGGAATGTGTGAGCTGGAAGGAAAGTCAGCTCGGAGAAATAAAGATGGAAAGCATAGAAGAGAAGGTGGCACAGAGAGATCACACTCACATAACTTTAAAAACCGGTCAGATTAGATGCTGTTTAGGACTCTATGTAGGTAATAAATCAGTGAAGAGAAAGCAAGAAAGTGGTTTCCATAAACGTTGGGAGAGTGGATGCCCCTAGTGGAGAAGAACAGTCTTGGCCAGAAAGGACACGTGGAGGGCTTCGGGTGCTGGCAGGGTCTACACCTGGCCTGTGTAGCGGTTACACAGTATTGACTTAGTTCATTACACCCTACCTTTGTGCTTTATGTATATTTTTATTTGTATGCTTTATTTCACAATTTTTTTAAGTTGAGAAAAGAAAACACACACACTCCCAGCCTGGTGGTCAGTGCTAAGGTGGGTGTTGGCTCACAGAGGAGGCACCAGAACAGGAGGCTGTTGCAGTAGGGTTAGGCCCGTCTAGTCGGTGCTCCACTAACACCTGTTTCATTTGTCTAGTCGGTGCTCCACTAACACCTGTTTCATTTGTCTAGTCGGTGCTCCACTAACACCTGTTTCATTTGGTTGAATGAATAAATGAATGCCCAAGTTTCTGTGGATAGCAGAGTGGATTGAGGGGTGCTGGTGGCTCATCATCTCCCCTAATAGATCCCACCTGGCTCCCCCACCAGTGCTGGTGCCTGCCATGTGTCCCGATTCAGATGTCTCCCTCCCCATAAGCCCACGTCTGTTCAAACTTCCCTTTGACCTAGGGTCCTGATCCCATCAAGCAGAGAGAGCTGTGGTCTGTAACTCACATTTTTTCAGTGCTAAGGCGCTAAGGACTGATGGTCACAGGGACACTTACCCCTCCAAGAGAGGGCCCTGGGAGAGGCAGTGGTTACTGCCAGGGACAGTTGTCTAGAGTGTGTGGACTTGGAGCTGCCCTGGGCCCAGGCCTCATGGTGGCCCCCTGTCCCATTGCTTCAGGCCGCTTTCCCACTCAGGGTTCCTGCTTCTCTCTCTAGCTGCGGTGTTCGAGAACCTGGATTCCTCAGATGTGGTGATGGAGATGCCTGCCTTTCCCACTGTGAGGAAGTTACTGCAGGTAGCTGGGCTGTTGTGCCAGCTTCCACTTTTGTGAGGGGTCTGGGGGCCTGGGCCGACAGACCCTGATGGCTC